CCAGGTGCTGTAAGTCTAGTGCGGTTAGTAGGTTGCACTTAGCGTGGCGCCGTTAGCCTGGTGTCAATAATTCTGGTGCCACTAATCTGGTGTTGATATTCTGGTGCCGTGAGTCGGGTGCCATTAGTCGGGCACCGTTATTCTGGTGTCGTTTGTCTGGTGTCTGGTACCATCAGTCTGGTGCCATGAGTTGTTCGTCTGGTACCATTGGGCTAGTGCCGAACATCTGGTGCGGTTCGTCTGGTGCACTTAGGAGTGGTGCCGTTAGTCTGGTGAGGTTAGTCTGGTGCTAATAATCTGCCGCCACTAGTCTGGTGTTGCTATTCTGGTGCCGTTAAACTGGTGCGGTTGGTCTGGTGTCGTCAATCTGGTATGGTTAGTCTGGTGCCGTCGGTCTTGTGTCCTTAGGCTGGTGCCGTTAGCCTGTTGTCGTTAGACGGCTGTCGCGAATCTGGTGTCGTTAGTCTGGTGCTGTTGATCTTGTGTTTTTAGTCTGGTGTTGTTGGTCTGTTGTCGCTACTCAGGTGCCATCAACCTGGCGTCGTCGATCTGATGTCTGTAATCTGGCGCCGTTACTCTGGTGTCGTTAACCTGGCATCTTCGTTGATCTGGTACCATTAATCCGCCGACCCCTTCGGGTTCATCGGCGTGTGAGATCTTCCCCTTCCCCAAGCCCTTCCCCCGGGAGCCCGGTCCGGTCGATTTGGAGGGGGGGGGGGGTCCGGCCAAATTCCCCGATTCCCTCGATTCCCCCGGGGGGGTCATCCGCTCCCGAAAATCATGCAAGGACTCCTCCGGTGGCCTCGAAATGACCCCGGGACGCCAAACGAGCGCTCCAAGACGCCCAAGGTGGCCCAAAGACGGGCTACGAGGCCTCCTAGACGGCACAAGAGGTCCCCACGAGGCCCCAAGAGGCCTCCAAGATGCGTCCCAAGAGGGTCCCTAGACGCAAACATTTGCCCATTCCCTCCGTTAGACGTACATTTTTCACAAGTTCGCCTTCTGGGTTTTCCGATGCTCCCAGACGGCCCAATAGGCCCCCAAGACCGCCCCAAGACGGCGGAAGAAACCCCCAAGAGGGTCCCAAAATAGCCCAAGGGGGCCCCAAGACGGGCTAACAGGCGTCCAAGACGGCCCAAGAGGGCCACGAAAACGGCCCCAAGAGCGCTCCAGGAGCGCTCCGAGTGGCCTCCAAGAGAGCTCAATATGGTCCCAGACGGTCCAAGAGCGATCAAAGACACTGAAGACGGCCTCCATACGGCCCAACATGCCCCCAAGAGGCATCCAAGATGCGCCCCAAGAGGGCCTCTAAACGCAAAAAGTTGGCCCGTACCCCTCGTAAAACGTATATTTCTCACACATTCGCCTCTTGAGCTTTCCGACGCTCCCGGACGGCCCAAGAGGCCCCCAAGACCGCACCAAGACGGCCCAAGAAGCCTCCAAGAGGGCCCCGAGACAGCCCAAGAGGGCGCCAAAACGTCCCAAGAGGCGCCGAAGACGGCCCAAGAGAGCCCCGAAGACGGCCCCAAGAGGGCTCCAGGAGCGTTCCAAGTGGCTTCCCAGAGAGCTCAACATGGTCCCACACGGTCCAAGGGCGATCGAAGACACCCGATATGGCCTCCAGCTGGCCCAAGACGCCCCCAAGGGGCCTCCAAGATGCGTCCCAAGAGGGTCCCTAGACGCAAAAAATTGCTCCTTTCCGTTGTAAAACGTATAGTATAGTTTTCACAAATTCGCCTCGTGGGTTTTCCGACGCTCCAAGGCGGCCCAAGAGGCCCCGAAGACCGCCCCAGGACGGCCCAAGAAGCCCCCAAGACGGCCCCACGACGGCCCAAGATGGCCCCAATACGGCCCAAAAGGTCCCCAAGACGGCCCAAGAAGGCACCAAGAGGGGCCCAAGAGGACAACAAATAATTCAAAAATCTAGCCTTCCGCCCCCACGAGAGTGCCCCAAGAGGCCGCCAGAGGCCCCCAAGAGGCCGCCAAGACGCCCCAAGCAGTCCCCAACAGGCTCCCAGGAGGCCTCCAAAAGACCCCCAGACGCTTCCGCATTGCGAGCCGTCAAGCCAACTGCAATGCACTCCGCGCATGCAGCCTTGCTCTTCCTCGCGACGTGCTCACAATCTTGCTCGGCGCTAATGTGCTGCTGCTACGCGAACTGTTTCGCGCGCGCTGCAAACGTCAACAGCCTCTTCACCCGTTTCGACTCATCTGCCACATCTTTCGCGGTGATGTTTCGCTGATCACAGCTTCCGCACGCTACTCTTGCTCCTTTCGTCTTCCGGTGCTCCTCCACTTGGTTGAGGGTCGAAAGGCCGACCTCCCAGAAAGACACCCCGCACCCGGGTGCACAGCACGCAAGGCGCTCGCAAAACACGCCCCAGACCACCGGCATCACGCAAACATTTGGACCCCCCCACGTATCTGCCACCACCCGCGCGCGACACCGCACCCTCACACAAGACGCCGCTGGCCAGAAACTCCTGGCCTCGCAACAGTCACAGAAGGGGTCGGCGGATGTGGCGTAAGCCTGTAGAATCTGGTGTCGCTAGCCCAGCGCATTAGCCTGGCGGCCTTAGACTGGCGCCGTTAGTCTGGTGGAATGAGTCTGGTGCCATCAGTCCAGTGTTAGTCTGGTGTCATTAATCTGGTGTCTGGTGCCATTTGTCTGGCTCCAATAATCCAGCGCCGTTAATCTGGTACCATTGGGCTGGTGTTGAAAATCTGGTGCGGTTGGTCTGGTGTACTTAGCGTGGTGCCGTTAGTCTGGTGCGGTCAGTCTGGTGCCCATAGTCTGGTGTTTTTACTATGGTGCCGTTAGTCTTGTTTCATTCGTTTGGTGCCATTGCTCTGGCGCGGTCAGTCTGGTGCCATTAGTCAACCAACTGCCAACCCGCCGCGAGAACCAACGGCACATACCAAATGCCGTTAGTCTGGTGCCACTAGGTCTGGTGCCTTTAGTCTGGTGCCGTTAGCCTGGCGCCATCAATCTGGTGCCACTAGCCTGGTGTCTTTAGTCTGGTGCCGTTCGCCTGGCGCCATTCACTTGGTGCCGTTAGTCTGGTGCCTCGGCCTCGTGCAGCTAATCTTGTAGTCTGGTGGCGTTAATCTGGTGCGTATAGCCTGGTGCGGTTTATCTGGTGCCGTTAGCCTGGTGCGCATGGCTTGGTGCGGTTAGTCTGGTGCCGTTAGCCTGGCGCACTTTTTGCACGGTGTCTACGCCTGGTGCCGCACCCTGGTACCTTAGCCTGGCGCCGAGTCTGGTGCCTTAGCCTGGTGCCTTATCCTGGTGCCTTAGCCTGGTGATTTACCCTGGTGCCTTAGTCTGGTGATTTAGCCTGGTGCTTTAGGCTGGACACTCAGGACGACAAGCGCAAATCGAAATGGCTCTGGGCGGCGGTGGGGTGCAGGTCGAAGTCGGCGGGGAAGAAGTCTCGCAAACTGGGGAGCAAGCGTATCTCCGCGGGCCTGCTCCCCAGGGCTGAAGATGCACCTGGCGGCAAACCTCGGGGGACGAAATTGATGACGCCAATGCTGCGGGAACGTCTGGCGAAAGAGGGCACCATCGTAAGGAACAAGTGGCAAGCCACGGAAACGGCCGCGAAGAAAACGAACATGAATATGGAAATCACAACGAACCACAACACATGTTTCCGCAATCCAGGAAGTTGTGTCCGCACGAACGACGTCGAGAGCGAGCTCGTGTGCCCCAAGTTCTTCCTCTGCAGCAAGTTCGGCGGTGTGCATTTCTGGAACAACACCGCCGCCGCCCGCATAGACGAGGTTCTCATTTTGAACGTTGCGGAATACGTGTTCTATACGAATGTCGGGCGCTTCCATCATGTCAGCTTCTCGGCATGCAAAGGGAGGGATCCGGAAACCCATCGGCCTGTGATGCCGCGACGTGGTGGTGATTGTAGGCTTTGCTTGTCGGGGCGGCGGCGCGAATCCATGCGAGTCGCGAAACGACCACAAGTACAGGTTCACGAGTTCGAGGCATTGCAGTGCACCTCCTGCAGATGATAAGCAAAACTGGGTAGAGAAACGACCCCTGTTAGGCCTGTACTGCCACAATCGTACGTATATATATAATAAGTAAGCACGAGCTACAAACAGTGATTTCTTGCAATCCACGCGGTGCAATCTAGGTGGTGCAATCTACGTGGTGCAATCTAGGTTGTGAAATCCATGCGGTGCAGTGTATGTGGCGCACGGCAAAGCACGGCAATTCAAATCAATGCAAAGCAATGCAAATCAATGCATTGTGATTGCAATGCAAAGCGATTGCGATTGCAACGCAATGCGATTGCAATTCAACGGGGGAGTGCAATGGAGAAGCGGCGACGGGCGGTCACAAGGCCGCCAGGACCGCAAACGGGCATTTGATTAGGAACACTGGTGCGGCTACGGACGGGAACGGGGCCGCCAGCGCCAGCGAAGTATGAATCCATGTCATCCCAAACCAGCAGCCCCCCTGCCCCGAGGGGGAGGGGGGGGGGCAGGCAGGGTACGGCGCCACGATAGTGGCGGCCAAGGCACATGCACGGGGGAGAGGGATGAGAAGCGGGTCAACTCCTGACATGCAGCCCCAGCACAGGTGACGTAATCGTTCCCCCTGTTTTCACCCTCGTCACCATCGTCGTCACTGCCGTCGAGGTCGACTTCGTCGTCGAAATCGTCGCCGTTACCGTCGTCGTCATGTCCACCGCCGGCGACGACAGAAATGGTTCGGGCGTTGGCAAAACTGGGTTTAGTGGGACCTGGTTTAGTAATGTGTACTGGGGGACGCCCCCCCCGCCCCGTTCCCCTAACCGGAGCTGCCGTCACCCGAAAAAACACCAGCTACGGCAAACCTGGTTTAGTGACTCTGGCCAATTCAGGGGTTCCGGGGCCCTACCACTAAGCGGGTCCCCTTACCTAGGGTCCTGGCTATACACGAATGGTCACGAAGACGAAGAAGCTGACGAGGGCGACAGCGGCGGCCGCACCGACCCCGCTGCCTTGGCGCTGCCGATGTAAGGCCGCCCCGGCGGCCCCGCACTGCGGGGGCGCCGCCTGGCGCGTCGGGGGGCGCCTCAAAAACGGCAACGGGGGGACCATCGGAGGAGGAGGAGGAGGAGGAGGAGGAGGAGGAGGAGGAGGACCATCGGAGGAGGAGGAGGAGGAGGAGGAGGAGGAGGAGGAGGCCGAGGAGGAGGAGGAGGAGGGAAAGGAGGAGGAGGCGGAGGAGGAGGAAGAGGAGGAGGGAGGAGGGAGGAGGAGGAGGGCGGAGGAAGAGGAGGAGGAGGAGGGGCTTTTGGCGGCCCCCGCAAGCTTTCTGAAACCCTCGGATGCATTCGTGCTGCGGCTCGGGGGGGGAATTGGAAAGGGGGCGGGCGGAAGGTCGGGAGTGGAACGTGGGAGCGGGATGGCGAGAAACATGGGAGGTCGATGACGGGGCGGCGACGTGGAGGGGGGGGGGAGGGGTCGACTAAAAGTAAACGGCGCAAGGTGCATGGGCTCACTTTTCAATGAACGGAATAACACGATGCAGTACCACGAATGTAGCACGGGCGCGGTCGGTTAACCCACCGTGCCCGAGGAGAAAAGGCGGCGGAAAAGAGAAGATAATCAAAGGAGGGACAGTGCGAAAAGCTTCCGTTCGAATGTAATGCTCAAGCGGGTCTGCCTGTGCCTTGCTGGTTCGGCTCTGCAAACCAAGCCCGCACTGACAAAGCAAAATCCAGCTTAACGAAGGAGCCTTCTACTGACTAGGTTTCACTAAAAGAGCATACGCGCACACAACTACACTGCAAACGATTATCCTGACAACCCTTTTTTTACAAAATTAATGCGGGAACCCTCCAAGAACCGGATTTTTCATGAAGCGATGCGAGCCGGTAGACTACTCTGCGGGAGTATGGGAGAGACTGAACTGCATGCTCGATTGCCAGAACATTGCCACCCCACCAACACATTTAATGGTGACCGCCCTCGCTGGTATGCTTCGATCTTCATCTCATTCTCCCTTGCAGCGTCGCATTCGCGAGCGCAGTTCACGAAATGCGAGCCTCTGCGCTACTCTCTTCCTGATCGACAGCGTCGCACTCGCGAGCGCAATTCGCGATGCGACGCCGGGTGGGTTGCCCAATGGCGTCGTCGCGGCCCTTGTTCAGGTTGCTGCGGCGGGAGCTCGGCACCGTCTGCTTGTGTCGCTCCTCGCTCAGTCTAGTTGCGGGATGTTCGTAGGCGACTACCCCATCCATGCTGCCCAGGGTGAGCTCATGGCCGATGCTCCCCTCCATAATGGGATCGGCCTTCGTGTCGCGAATGTCGCGCCACGACGCGTCGGATACCTGTTGCGCCCGCTAGCCACCACGGGCGGCCTGCCATGCTATTCTCCGACGGCAGTCGCGCAGTCCATGGCAGAGGCGGAGAAGACGGACGCGCCGTTGACGACCAGCTCGACGCCCCCCTGCCCCCTCGGCCCCCCGATCTCATCTGCTGAGGCGGGCCCGCGCACAATCTCGAGGAGAGTCAGGAGGTGCGCGTGTAGGCCGTCTGCGGCTCCATATTCTGCGAGCAGCTCAGCGCCGAAGGTTGATCGACGCGCAAGCCTGTGCGATCGGCTCACTGCATCGAGCAAGTGGCAGATATACGACTACCAGCACGGCGACACCTGTCCAATCGCATGCATGCGGCGCCACGCATGCCGCGCCCCGTCTCTCCTCGCGCGTGAACGAGCCGTCGCTGCGCGAGCGTATCTGGCCCGCGCGCTCCATCGCCGTGAAGGCGAAGCGCGCCCTGATTTTCTACGTGGCCGAAACAGCGCAGTTGAGCTGCATCGCGCGTCTGATGAGCAGCTTGATCTTGGCTCGTTGCAGCGCGACGATTCGGGCGACGACGCGGCGTTGCGCAAACAGGGAGACAAAGAAGTCCGGAAATGGACCTCTGGCCGACTCGCCGGCCTTCGACTTGGCCGGGTCGACGTGACCGATGGGGATCAGTACGTCAACGTACTCGTCCTGGATGAATGTTACCGTGCCATCGGCACTGCGATGCTGGTGGGCTCCGCTCTTGGCGAGGTCGTCGTAGTCCCGAGAGGACGCTCTCGATGTGGCCGATGAGTCGGTCGACGTTCTCCTTGCGTCCTGCGATCTTGAGATCGTCGAGGAGTGTGGACAGCGCGAGTGTCATCTCTGAGCCGAAAACACCGCAAGTGCTGGACGACTCGTGTTTTAAGCTCAAGCTCAGGGCCACATCGCGTCGCCTGCGCGTTGCGCTCGGGCGAGCGCGTGACCCTGGCGAGCTTCATGGAGAAAGCTCTGGGCGCATCCTTGCAGCCCGTGCCCAGATTCACGCAACGCAGGCACTCGGTCCGCTCGTCGACTCGCAGCCTGGGGCCTGCCTGGGGACGGCGGCGCTGCTGGGCGGCGGGGTGAATCTCACCTCTCGCGGTGCTTCGCCCAGGTCCTGCATCTCGGCATAGAGACGCCCCATCGGCCGGCCGGGCCGCCGAAGGTCTCCGAGGCCCCCGCGCCCATGCGGCGGAATCCTCTCGGCGCCGCGAGGCGCCGGGTGATCCAGGCAGTTGCGCCGTCGGACCCCTTGCGGCGATTCCGCCTGAACGCGCGTCTGGGGCGCGTCGCGTTCCGAGCTCCCGCGGGAGGTCGCCGCTCGAAACGCCAATCTTTGACCCACTTCGAGAGCTCCTCGAAGATGGTGGCGACCGCCGCATTGGGCAGCCTCGACGCCTCCTCTTGGGCAAGAGATCGGCGTCGCGCTTGATTGCCGCGGTCTCGACGGCGGCATTTGCTTTCGGCGCGGCTGCGGTGGGCGCGCCGGCGAGATGGCCGCCCGCCGCCGTCGCGGCAGCTCAGCAGGAATGCCTTTCGCGTTCCAAGGTACAGGAGCGCAGCCGCGCGTTTTCCTCCCACCTCTTTTAGTTTGGCGTAGTCGTCCGGAGAAGCGCAGCGCATGTAGTAGTGGCCGTGCGCGTGAATGTGCTGGCGCTGGTGCTGCGTCTCCAAGCGCGGCGGCCGCTCGCGTGGCCCGCGGCCAATGCTGGCGGCCGCGTGCGCGGTGGCAGCGTAGACCTTCTGCAGGCTGTCGGTGCTCTTCAGCTCCTGCAGCTCCTGGGCCACATCCCATGAACCCTCGACCGTCTGCCAAGCTGTCGACGTTACCTGTTGGATGCGGCCAGCGAAGCCGCTGTCGGCCTCTTCGGGCATCGCCAACAGGGCCGATGGCGAACCGCCCTCGGCGACGCTGCCGGCGTTCCCAGGGACTTCGGCAACGGAATCAACAACCGTCCCGTCCCGTTCCTGTTTGGCGTCGGCTGCCAAAGCTGCTCGCCACCCGGGACTGACTGGGCGATGCAGGCGCCCTTCTTCCAATGCTCGCCGACGAGGCTGTGGGCGTTGAACTTGACGCTGTCCAGGTGCAAATGGCGAACGTCGCACAGGTTCCGATGGGGGCCGCTGGATGACCAGACTGCGGGCGCAGCCCTGCCAGTCGCCCACTGGTCTCTGGCCGCGCAACAGACGCGCAGCACGGACCTCAGTTAGCTGAAAGCACCGGAGCAACACATGGCGCAAAACGTAGAGGAAATCAGGTCGTTGCCGAGCATCTTCAGTCAGCTGCTTCCCCTGCTCGCCCTCCCAGTGGCCGAAGGTTCTGGCCCCCGAGCCTGGCGCGATGCGTTCTGAGGTCCGCCGCGCGATCCCGGGCCGGACCCGCGCGCGCCATGCCGGCGCGCGCGTCGTCGAAGACGGCGTCGATGAAGGTCCGCGCGTCCTGCGGTGCGCAGATCATCGCGGATTTGCGGCGATGTCCTGCCCACCCTGACGCGCCCCCTGTGCTGGGAAGCCGGTGGGTCCACCTGATCGCCCACGTTGAAAGCGCCCCTCTCCGCTCTCTGCGCCGCGCGCGCGGAGGGCGCGGCTCGCGCGGGCGGTCGACATGGCCCCGGCAACGCGATGCAAGTCGATATCACGGGAGCTCCACTGCAGCCGGCCGGGGTGCACGTCGCCGCCAGCAGCGGGGCCGGCTCTGGCGACGTAGTCGCCCTCGCCCTCCTCGTCTGCTTCGAGAGGCGGCAATGGGGGCTGCCTGCCGAAGACGCCGTTGCACGGCGCAGCGCCGCCCACGTGGGCGAGGCCGTTGCCGGCGAAGATGGCGCGGTCCAGCATGGAGTCGAAATTGGCGGCAACTCTCTCGCACTATTGCTGCTCCTAGACGGCGTGTAGTGCGCGCCGTAGGATTGCGCCGCGTCGCTCTATGAAACGAACGTGCTGGCTTGGGGCACGGATGTCCACCTGGGCTGCTGTCCTCCTGTCATCTCCTGTCCGAAATACTTAGAGGTCATCCCGCCTTCTTCGTCCACGATGAAGGTATCCGTTGATCCGCATGGCTGGTTCAAGGACATGCCAACTGCCACCAGCAGCGTGGAGTCGCAACTGTCCGCGATCTCCTGGCAGATGTGCCACCGTGAGGCGCAGCAGATCCAGCACAGTGCCATGCGATCCGCGTAGCACAAGGTGACGCATTCAACGTGCAAGTCAATCATGTCGGGGGACGTGGCGTGGGGGTGGTCTGGCGCGCTGGCAGAAGCCGATTACGGCATCCCCGACAATTGTTGACTACTGTGGAGATGAGGCCGAGGATGGAGTGCGGCATGCTGGCTGCGCGGAGTGCTCGAGCCACCTCCTCCTTGGTCGCATGCCACCACCTGAGATGTAGATTGCGTAGCTTCCGCATGCATGTCTCGAGCGACTCGCCACGTACTGCTCGTAGTGGCGCATTGGTGCCAAATCGAATCCAGTCTGCGGGTGTTGGTTTGCCATCTGCAGCGTCGGCCGCTCGCGAGGCTGCCCATCTCGGTGTCGTGCCGGCTGCCGGACTGGCTCGTAGTCGTGAGCCAGCAGCATAGTTGACGGATCCACTGCCCTAAGCCCCAACGCTGGTGGATGAGCCAGTTCCCTATGTGCTGGACGGTGCCAGCGGTAGAGCTTCCTCGTCTGCTTCTCCGAGGTTGGCTCCCCGATGTGGTTAGCCTGCTGATCGCTGCCTGGGCG